ACTACTAGAGCGGTACATTTAGAAATGGTCGAGGATTTATCAGGTGAGAATTTCTACCATACCTTCACAAGGTTTACTGCCCGAAGAGGATTCCCAAAAATGGTTTTAAGTGATAATGCAACCCAATTTCAATTGGTATTTCAAATTATTAGAAAACAAAACGCAAATTTCTTGGCAAAGGAAGGTATCGTGTGGAAAAATACAATCCCCAAAGCGCCATGGGGTGGAGGATTATACGAGAGACTCATAGGCCTTACGAAACAGGCTTTGAAACAAGCTATAGGAAGAAAACTCTTAAAGGAAAAGGAATTTATAACATTAATCGCACAAATCGAAGCATTACTAAATACACGTCCATTAACTTATGCCGGTGTAGAGGACTATTGTATCTTACGTCCAATCGATTTCATATCACCTACATTCCCATTATGGATACCAAGGAACGAGGAAAATGGAGATTACTCTCCTTATCCACTAAAAACTAAAGACAAAGTAATAGAATGTTGGAACAATATCCTAAACACATTGGACGTTTTCTGGAAACGTTGGAGAGACGAATACCTTTCAAGTCTCCGTGAGCGAACTCAGAAAGAAATCACCTTTCCTCGATCAGTGGAAACTCGAAGACCGACAATTAACAAAATAGTCTTATTAGCAGAACCAAATATACCGCGCGGCATCTGGAAACTTGCAAAAATCATCAATCTTAAAAGGGGTCAAGATGGGTGTGTTAGGAGCGCAACAATTCCAATGCCAAATGGAAAGCACCTGGACCGTCCCATAAATCAACTATGCCCCTTAGAAATAAATGAATCCGATAAAGTGGAAGATAAACAACCTATCGCCAAGCTAGAAGATGAACAACCCATAGCACAACGCACCAGAAGGGCTACCCAACAAGCAACGTTACCTGAACACAAGTCCACTACATTTACAAAGGCATTCTTTCTAATGGCGGTAATATCATTGATGATAACGCAGGCAAAGGCAATAAGAAATTGTAAGTGGACTCTCGGCATACCATTCAATATTCCTGAAAAATGGAGTTGTGATGAGATAATTAGTCAAAATGC